TTCAGACGTGTACCACGGGTCATCACTAACCCTCCATCTGCACTGGAGCACTTACAGAAATCACTGACTCATTTAGAGTCGCTATAGCTATAACATCTGTGCTTAGGACATCAACTTGATTGTTGTATGACGATAATGGAAGGAATTTGAACATTTCTGTGAATTAGGAGAATCTCCTCAGGTTGTTGAAGAATTTCTACAGCATTTACGGGCTACAATAAAACTGAAGGTACTACATTGTCAACCTATTTGGCTGCCATTAATTCGGTTCTAGCCACTACTACTGGAACCAAGGTGTCTACTACTCCCAAGCTCCAGTATCTGCTTCGTTCGTTCAGACTTGCTGACGAGTCTAGGAAGGTCTGACCTCCTGTATGGGATTTGTCAGTTGTCCCCTGTCACTTGGTATGAGTCGCTTCATGATAACGTTTAAACTTTCTTTCTAGTAGCATTTTAGCTACTGCAGCTCGTATTTCGGAGTTACATGCACTAGATGTGAATCATGTTCATTTTGAACGGAAACAACATTGCAGAGTTTTTCTGGGACTGCGTTGGGACTTTGTCGCAAAGAACCAGTTACCAGGACAACCGGATCAAATCGGTTTACTATCCCACCGTTGTCAACCATTCTTGGGCACCATTCTGTAATTTGTTGATGTCCAGCCATCCCACTTTGTTGGCGTTTGATAGTCCGCCATTTTCCGATCTGTCTCACACCGGGTGGTTGAAAGAAACATCCTATTCTGGCTCTCCAAGTTGCTAAATCAGTCATTTTCACACGTAACGAGAGTCTCACGATACAGTTACATGACACAGTTACACTCCGGGAAGGGTAACATCAAGTTAAAATGTCATTTTTTGTGAGTTTACCTTTATGCTCTTCAAATTGACTCCTTCACCCAACGCATGCGCAACTGGTTCGAATGATTCATTTTGAAATAATTGCATAGATTATCTTTTAATTATCGACTCCAAAAATGTTCTTGTCTCTCATCGCCATGAATAGCTGCAAAATTGCTGATGCAGCATTAAACAATACTCACTCACTCACTCGTCTCTCAATATTTATGTTTAGTGAACATCACACGAAACAAATGATAGAGTTTGAAATTAACATGGCTTTGTGCCAAAAATATAAGTGACCCTTGAAGATCTCGACTGGACCTCTTCTTTGATATTCATGACAGTAATTTGAGTTTTTTATCACCAGAATATTCTCCTATGTGGTAAGGAAGAAGAAAATATATCTTTAATACCTCTGTTTAATACTAATCAATGAAATGGAGTACTGCTTTCACCGTAACGTAGATTACTTAGCTACATTTTTGGGAAACTCGTCGCAAAATAGTATGTACAGAACAAAAATTACTTGACGACTCGTTGGATTTTATGTACCTAATACTCCACTTGGAAACAATAGTTAATGAATATATATTAACTTGAGTTCTCGACTTTTGATATGGTCACAGTGCCCATTTATTGAGAATGAGTGTAGAGTGGTATTACCCAGCAAGGATTGACAATATGTAGAGATCAACTCCTTATTTAAGAATTGAATGTCAGTTTGTGTGTTTGCACTGAAAAATGAACGATGTCAAAGCGTTGTTCAAACTTGTGTGAACGAGCAAGTTTTACTTTTTACCCACATCTACATGATCATTCTTTACAGTGATGTGTTTTAATACCTGTAAAATGTTGTAATGCCATTCTGTTCAAGACCGTATTGCAGCGATGTTTGCATACTAGGCGATTTTTACACATGTATCCCAACTCTTGAAGAAATAGTTCTCAAAGTATTCCTTAAAATATAACAACAAATTCGTCATTAGATTTGAAACTGCTTTAATAAGTATAACATCAATCAAATTATCAAACACAAACAAATATCAATAACAATAACAATATCATCTTAACAAACTGTCATTGTACCCTTACACTATGACGGATTTGTTTGACCGTGTAATAATACACTTCGAGGTTGTGCGGCATGGCGAATAGGAAGCAGATCTCGTTGTATTCTATTTATTTGTGATTGTTTATTGAGAAACTTATTGAGCAGTTGTTATAAACAGACCATGGGGCAGAAAAATGCCAGATGAACCCACAAACTGCGAGAGATTAAACTCTTGTGAAAAGGAAGAGTGTTCGGCAATTGGAAATCTGTTTGGTAGTGATTATTGGGGTTCCTTGAAACTGATGCGGAAATTTGAAAATTAGGTCGCACTGGCGGGCACTTGTTGTTGGATGCGTTGTCATTCAGATTTTGCAATTTATTAACTTTGTTATATATACAAAAACAAGCAAGTGATATGTAGAAATTAAAAGTGAATACAAATAATTTTTATTTTGTTTATGTCAAGCTGGACAGAGAGTATCCTGGGAAAATCCGGCAAGTAGTTCCATCAAAAGTTCACATGACCTAGATCAGCTCGAAAACGTTCACACACGTATGAACGATGTTTATACACGCTTTGAAGGGTTCAAGAGAAATGAACCTTGAAATTTAGATCACATGACCACTCTCTCAACCAACCAACGTTCGGGAATCTGTGTAAACTTCACTTAAAGACAGGTTTCACTTGTGTTTAGCATTTTTCTGGCTGTGCAGTGAGAAGTAGAGAATTGAAGAATGAGAAGCTGTCTATCATTACAAAGGATATACGATAAAGAGGTACAGCCAAACAGACATATGCTTTTGTTCTTGATTAATGCATACAATACTTAAAACGTGAAGCTATCAGTGAATATCATTATTATGCACAGTACAAACTACAGTGTATTCCTTCAGAGACTTCAGGTAAACAAACAGGCGACAACAAACTTGGTAAAACAATGTGCATTCTCACATAAATTCTCAGTAACATGATGATTTACCATTGAAATTGTACTGTTCTGCTAGACAGTGTTATATATGGAGATCAGTGTTTCCGCTGACTTAATGATTTATCGGACACTGTGTCTCGTGACCTAAAATTTTACCGGTCATGAATGAAATTTGCCGGTCATATCCTATTACCATACTGTAAGTACATATTTTAAAGTTATTTTAGCCTGGGTATTTCCAAAGCATAACAATATTTGTGACTATGAAAGCTCAGCCAAGACTATCATTTCGCTTACCCATGATGTTTTCGTTTTAATACATGATTATTTACCGGACACGGTGTCCTGCTGGCTTTCAATTTACCGGTCCCCAACAAATTTTACCGGAGATTTTCAGGTATATACCGGAGAACGGAAACACTGGAGATATAAATATTACCTCTGTGTGTTCTGGGAAACAAGCATCCAGCTGTGTATGACATTTTCCAGAAATCTACCTGTGATGCGGCTAAATAATACCCAATAATATAACTTCCAAGAATTTTGGTGCAATGATCAAATGAAACCTTTATTTTATCAAAATTATCTTTTCCAATATTTTGTTATTTTAGTTCATGCTTACTACATGCTTACTATTAGTGCTTACATTAACAGTCATTGTCATCAAGATAATTGCTTGGCTGGTGTAGCTTATTTAAAAGGGTGTCCTCCCATTACGCAGACAGCCAGTTCGCAGACACCTTAAAACAACAACATTTACGGTTCAGTGAACAGATTATCTACTACCAGTTACCTACACGTTATAATGGAATAGTCCAAATATAAACACAGAAACAAACTGAAGCTATATTATTTATTTTGAAAGATGGATGAAAAGACAGTAATTTGAATTTTTATTGCTGCAATATAAAAACAGTTTATTTATTAACAGGTTATTTATTTTCATAAACATTTCGGTTTAACCTTCTAGTCTAACGGGGAGTCGGCATCATCATTTTGAAAACATTAGCTTAGCTATTAGAAATTGCGACACTGTTGTATCGTATAAATCAAATATAGATAAATGTGAACCGAAATATTATTCATTTGGAATAAAGAAGTTATATGTTTTGCACACAATATTAAGATATATGACGAGTGCACTTAGTTACGATTTATTTAGAATAAATATTCAAAATATGTCAATGTGGCCATGGATGTGAGAATGTTTTTCATTACCTCCTTGAATGTCCATTGTATACTACTCAAAGACATAAAGTGTTACAATCTTTAGAAAGTATTGTTTAAATTAGAACACTGATTGGTATTAATCGTATCTTACATGGCAATGCAGGTGTCTCATTTACTGCAAATAAGAATGTTTTCAAATATGTACATATCTATATTTCTCCAACAAAACGTTTTCTCAGTTAACTTCTGTTGTACATATGCTATTATTGGGAGGGGACTCTATCAATAAACACAATCAAACCTCTCAGTGACAAACCTGTTTTTATATTCGATAGTAATTGATAGTAAAATCAATTTTGAGAAGAGAAATCATTTAATCACAACAAAGTTCTATTTACCCACAATCAAACTTGTCAGTAACGAACCTGTTTCAGGCTCACCCTGCTCTACTCACTAGACAGTGGACTGTTCCATTATACCCGTAGGTGTTACCCTAATTAACCTTCTAGTTCAGTGTCTGTCGATTGGGTGTCTGTCAAATGGGAGATAACCTTTAAAAGTGTCACCATCATGTGTGATGTATGTTCTCCAGATCATATCCTCCAGGGAGTGATATGAACAGCAAGTGGATGAGGTTGCCCATATCCTAATATATGGTATGATGAGCCCCACTACTTACTGCAAATGTACCAAATTTCATTACATTTGGAACAAGGCTGAAAAAATGCCATTGATACATTTTCAAAATGGCCGCTGGGATACTACTAATCTCTGGAACAACTTCAGGTGTAATCATTGGTGGAACAAGCAATTTAGGTTTCAGATGGTGTAGTGGTTCCTAAGGAAAACATGCCGACAGACACCATTAGTTAGTAACGACAGGTGTAGTTGACACAGACAGTGGGTTAATAGTGCATGACATGTGCTCATTTAAAAGTGGACAGTTTGACAAACCTGTGAACATTTAGTTGAAGTGATATTACTATAAGAATGTTGGGAAAATGTACCTTCATCTGCCAGGACAGCTAATGCTGCTGTGATGTCTGCATGTGCAGATGACTTTGTCCTCACATCAAGAAGACACGTGCACAATGCCTCTAAACATTCACTCTCTCGAGAACTGCCTGAAAAGACACAAACTCCAAGATGAGTACCATTCAAAATGCATACTAGGTAAAATAGCTGGGCAGATAACAATATCAAATTGGCATAATTGAATTTATGACTCAATTAACATTAACCTCAACAGCTTCAGTGCTTTTAATGGCACTCACACAGACAAAGGCGCTGTAGCTCAAACCATAATTTATATATTGAGGAAACAGGATGCTCATTTGTTTCAGTATGTACCATATTTATCTTCAAAAATAATAGGAACACCCCATTCTTAATGAAAGTCAGCAATTACGAAGGTTGATTGATAAGTTTCAGACTCACACAAAAGCATGGAATAATACTGAAATTATGTTGTGGATATTAGATGATGCTGAAATTATGTTGTTGATATTAGATGATGAGATAGAGGTATATATAAAATACCTGAGCTATTGATGCAGATTTTAGATTTTTTTGTGAATAGTCAGTAAAGTAAGCTGGCTTCTGTGACCTTTGGAAAATGGAAAACATGAGGAAAGTGAGGTGATAAAGTACTTGAAGGAAAATGGTTCAACACTAAAACCCATTTATGAAGATATGAGTACAATACTGCAGAAGGATGCCCCTTCCTACCATTGGAAAGAGGTCGGCAGCAGAGTTTTAGTCATAAAGATGTCCCTTGTCGAGCTATTGGCAAATTATGTACTGGTAGTTCAGTAGGCATTTTTTAAGGAGATTACATTTGCAGAAAAGTCTGAAAATTTCTCAATCAGACACTCTTGAAACTGACAGTGATACCCATGTAGAGTCAGGAGATTTGGTCCCTCAATAGTACCTTGCATGCCTTGCACATGTGCAAACCTTACTTCTTTCCAATATCAGCTATGTAGTTGCAGATAATTTGAGAGTTGGAGGTATGTTTTTCCGATGTAAGATAATAATTCTTGGAACAATTACCAAAGATAACTAATGTTTGACAAATCTTGCAAATACAGCTATTTTAAGTGTGCCAAGGTTGTTGGACAGAATCTGAGATTTCAGGGTGATTTTGTTGATGGTGATGTACTGCTGGACAGTACAGCGATGGGAGTAAACCAGGTGAAGTCCTTCACCAAGTCTGCCCCGAGTCGGTCATTTGTGGAGAAGCTTTCTGGGAAACCATTGCATCATGTGTACATGCAGTGTGTGGAACAGAATAGTAATCCAACCAACTCCTTCACCTGGATGAAGTCAGCTGGTCTTAAATGTGACACTGAGGGCTTTCTTTTTGCTGCCCAAGACCAGTCACTTCCCACTCACAATCGCCGAAATGTGACTCTAAAAGAAAATATTTGCACGAAATGTCGATTGTGCAATGAATTTACAGAGATTGTCCAACACCTTGTCAGTGGATGCCCTTCCTTGGCACAAACAGCATACCTTAAATGACATGATGGCATGGCTCGTTGCTTTTACTATCGTCTCCACCATGCCTGTGACTTTGACTCCATCCATGGTACGACCCTGAACATGTCCAGGGCGTCATGGAAAATGATGCTTTTAAACTTCTTTGGAATAGGCCCATATACAGCCACAGACGAATTCCTGCCAACAAACCTGATCTTGTTCTTTTTTATAAGGCCAATGAATTTATATATATCATTGAATTTTCAGTCCCTTTTCACAGCAACATGATTGGCAAGATTCAGGAAAAGCATGCTTAATATTTGGACCTCATATTTGAAATGTCTCGCTTGCATCCAAAGTACACTGTCGTCAGGCTCCCCATTGTTCTTGGTGCCCTTGGTTTGGTACCTCCTGATCTCTTGGCACAGCCCTTCTGACTCTCTGGGTAATGCAGAAGGCTGCAATGTTGGGGAGCCTTCACGTTGCCCAGAAAGTTCTTGGAGGGTTATACTAGGCAGCGTTTCCTGGGAGAGGTCGCTGTCTGGGCTGTGTGTTGAGGGTGCAAGGGCCCTGAGCTGATGATGAGCCTTACCAGCCTGACTGTGCTAGGATCACCCAAACCCTCTCTGCTGCATTTTCATCTTAATCTCTATATGATAACAAGCATGGTTACTAAGGTGACATAATCCCCCGCCGCAAATTATCAAATCAAACTTAAAAATTTCATTAAGTAAATTAATGAAAGTAAAGGTTGTAGTTTAAGGTGATTTAAATGTCAACAAAAACAAGACCAGTCAACCTCTCTTGATATCTTGTTCTGTAGTTGTTCAAACACACAAATATTTTCAAGACTTACTTTGACATGAATGTCATGGTGTATGAAATATGCCAAAATAGTAATAAGGACAAGTCTTGAAAGAAAATACAGTGAACCGTTCTTGAGATATCTTGCTGACAAGTGTAACATGCAATTTATCATGCTGAAAACTCCAAAGTGTCGCTGTGACCTTGAAAATTAAGTGAAGGTCACCAAAATTGACTGGGTCCTGCGCCTTTCCTAGATGAAGCTTGGTGTCAAATATGAGGAAAATCCATTGAATGGTTCTTAAGGTATCTCGCTGATGAGCTTAACATGCAGGTTAACATGCTGAAATCTTCAAAGTGTCACTGTGACCTTGAAAATTGGTACTTGAGATATCTCGCTGACAAGGGTAAACGTTAAAATCCCCTTGTGACCTTGAAATGAAGGTCAAGGTCACTAAACCTGACTGGGACCTTTCTTACACTGTGATGAACCTTGATACCAGATATGCAAAGAATCTAGTCAACGGTTCTTAAGATATTCTAATTCGTATGTACGGACGTACAGAGCCTAATACTATATTCCCCACTTCGTGCTAAACGCACGGCAGGGGATAATAATAATAGGCTAGTATAGTGCATAGTTTCCATCACAGATGCTCAACGGCCCTGCATACATCATTAAAAACCCAGTAAAACTAAAAAGATTTTCTATTGAAAAGCCATCTAGAATAAGTAGGTTTTCAGCAAGTTTTTGAAAGATGCCTCAAATCTAAAGCAGTAACACACAGATTGTGAGGATGCCTGTCTATAAAGCAGTAATGGACAACCAATGAGGATGTTTCATATATGAGGCAATAATGGACAGATTGTGAGGATGCCTGTCTATAAAGCAGTAATGGACTACCCGTGAGGATGTTTCATATATGAGGCAATAATGGACAGATTGTGAGGATGCCTGTCTATAAAGCAGTAATGGACAACCCGTGAGGATGTTTCATATATGAGGCAATAATGGACAGATTGTGAGGATGCCTGTCTATAAAGCAGTAATGGACTACCCGTGAGGATGTTTCATATATGAGGCAATAATGGACAGATTGTGAGGATGCCTGTCTATAAAGCAGTAATGGACAACCCGTGAGGATGTTTCATATATATGAGGCAATAATGGACAGATTGTGAGGATGCCTGTCTATAAAGCAGTAATGGACTACCCGTGAGGATGTTTCATATATGAGGCAATAATGGACAGATTGTGAGGATGCCTGTCTATAAAGCAGTAATGGACAACCCGTGAGGATGTTTCATATATGAGGCAATAATGGACAGATTGTGAGGATGCCTGTCTATAAAGCAGTAATGGACTACCCGTGAGGATGTTTCATATATGAGGCAATAATGGACAGATGAGGATGGTCTATAAAGCAGTAATGGACAACGTGAGGATGTTTCATATATGAGGCAATAATGGACAGATTGTGAGGATGCCTGTCTATAAAGCAGTAATGGACAACCCGTGAGGATGTTTCATATATGAGGCAATAATGGACAGATTGTGAGGATGCCTGTCTATAAAGCAGTAATGGACAACCCGTGAGGATGTTTCATATATGAGGCAATAATGGACAGATTGTGAGGATGGATGATGCCTGTCTATAAAGCAGTAATGGACAACCCGTGAGGATGTTTCATATATGAGGCAATAATGGACAGATTGTGAGGATGCCTGTCTATAAAGCAGTAATGGACAACCCGTGAGGATGTTTCATATATGAGGCAATAATGGACAGATTGTGAGGATGCCTGTCTATAAAGCAGTAATGGACAACCCGTGAGGATGTTTCATATATGAGGCAATAATGGACAGATTGTGAGGATGCCTGTACGTAAGGCAGTGACAGGCAATTCATGAGGATGCCTGTATATAGAAAACTGGTTGCACCTCCTGCTCAATATAGCATAACATAATGCTTGAGTTTGGGTATGGATAATTTAGAACACCATTACAACGATAATATTTTAGGTTTGATAAGATCATTTTATCTTAATTCATAACATTTCATGACATGAACAGTAACACTCCTTCAGTCACCAGTCACTGCTCCAAGCCAGTTATCTTCATTCTGTTTTCCAGCTGAAGTCTGTGTTCTTTGAATAACAAAATATTAACAAGCACAATCATGCAAGTTGTATAAATATAACTGCATCTTGCAGTTTCACATTCCATCAGTTTAAGTTCTTAATGTTTAAATCAAGCCCTATGGGTGATTGTAAGAATGAGTGTGTGAGTGATAGCATGAGTGAGTTGTTATTAGAAAGGTTTGTAATTACTCTGGTACATGATACTGCTGGCCATAGTCAGCATTAGTTTGAGATCTGTTTGTCAGTACATGAGATCAATAGCCAAGTGGACAGAATTTGGATGGACTTGTTAGAGAGTTGTTTTGTAAGCATAGCAGGTTGTCTGCCAAGGAGCATTGAGCCTGGGATGTGGTTTGCCTTGACCTTTTGGTGTGAATTCAGTATTTATGTCTAGTCAGGAATCATGTGCCAACTGGCTGTGTTTTGGTACAAATGCAACCTGTCAGCATGGAATATATGGTACATGCAATCTGTCACAGTTTACTGAGCATCATAATCTCACTCAACTTTCAGTCATTCTGACATTTTTGTTTACCCGGTATACTGTTTGGCCTTTACTTCGTGAAGGTCTCCACCTATATGATTAAGATACTGTGCATATCATAACACTTAATTTGAACTCACAAAAGTGATAATAAATTCATACATGAAATGTCAACATCAGGCTTTCTTACAATGTACAGTTTTTCTCTCATAACAACACAAGATAATTTCATTGGAACATTTTGTTGTTGATTTGCGGTAACTTGGTGTGACTGAAAGACCTTTACCTGTATGTGATCACCCACAGCAATGTTCCTGATGGTTCCAGCTGCATGTCTTTGAGCCTCCCAGTTGTGACCACAACGCAGTACTGAACACATATCAGGCAAGAAGTCTTCACTCACAATTGAAAGCTGAAAGATTAATTGTACTGCATGAACTGAAACTTATTGAATAATATGATTCTAATATATAAGTTGACATATAACTTGATTATCAGGCTTCTGACTATGATGTATAAGTAAAGCTCTCACTTTATTCACAGAACAGTTTAATGTAGGCTGAAAATCATAATACAAAACTATCTATGACCTTGTTTAAACCAGAAATCCTTATGGATTGGAGCAGCAGCATGCTATAAACCACAACATGAGGGCCAAGCCATGAAGTCTTCAGCTTTTCAATATGTGTTTATTTCACTGATCATATTATTTTATAACATGTAAATTCAAAAAGATTTGCTGCAATATCTACATCCAGAAAACAACCACAAGCACATGTTCAGTTTTAATGGTGACTGCCATGTTCATATCAACTTGCAAAGTGTGAACTAAGACAAGGGGGATGGTGGTGGCAAACGTGTCCAAACATGTCCAAAGAGCTGACAACATTCAGCTGCAGGCAAATATACACATGAGGATTAACCAAACACCACTCACTTTTTTTATTTTAGTACAAGAACACAACATGTTGTTGTATATGCTTTGAAAACCAAATTCAGAGTATCAAAATGACAACTGTAACATACTTTATACTGATTAAAACAAATGCACAACTGAAATTTGATAATAATTTACTTGCAACCAGAGAGGAACACACAGAAACGTGAATATGCCAGAAAGTATGACTACACCATCGATCTGACTGTCACAGAGTTCTCAAATAATGATTGCTGTGATTGTATGAACCACCACTGGCAACCAGATCAGTACCTGGTGTAACCTCCACACAAAAATAACATCTGCCAATCTCCTCCTCATACTGGAAATCAAACATCTAATCCTGTGCCATTCCTCAAGGAGCGCATGCATCAGTTCCTGCAGATTTTGAACAGAAGAATCTCTAGCTTGAACATGGCATCCAAGATGGTCCCAAAAACATTCAATTGGGTTCATACTAGGGCTCCTTGTGGGCAATAGTAATGTTTTGATGGTGTTGTTTTTGCAAATGGCCAATGCCATCCCGAGTATCATTAGGTCTAGTGTTGACAGGCAAGGGGATGGATATCAAAATGCAGTATGATGGTAGTATTCAGTTTCCTGTTCATAACATTGACCACTGAGTGTACTAGGTACTGACATGAGGTCCAATATGCAGACCTATGACATGCAACATCTCACCATTACTGTGTTTTTTTGCAGTACCCACACCATGCCATATCTTCCTGCCTGTGGTTATCTGTGAGCAAGGAACATCTGATGAGATGAAGTGTCTCCAGACCAGCAGCCTGGGATTGTGTCTTGCCAGACTCAATCAACAAAGCCATTGGTGTTCAAGGTCTTGGATGATCCTTTACTTCACTGGTGGCTACGTGCTTCCTTACATGCTGACTAATAACTGTGTGGTAATGTTCAAGTTACCACTGCTGTTATGACATGGACATCTTGTCCATGCTAATAACTTGCCATCACGTGTTTGCCAAGTAAGAAAACTAAATGTTTTAAATAAATGTTAAAGCACTGGTGCACATAAAACAGTTATGAAATTTATACACCATTGTGCATGGTGCCATCAGAGAATGTGAACATGGGCCCATAGGATTGGAGGTTTTGTGTGAATTAAATGTTATGGATGTGCACTGCATTATTCTATGCTAGCCTGATTGGCAACAAAATATTTAAAATGTCCCTTTTTATTAACGTTGAATTTCTGAACCACAATAGATGGGATATGGGTTAATAAAGCAGAAATGTGTCTGCAAATAATTGTGGCAGCTCCCTCAACATCATTTGTAGAGTTACTCAGATATCATCCATATCCTCAGTTCAGTTCCTAGACTAATGCTTAGTCTCTGAACATATATCATTTTGATAGTAACAAACAAGCCCATTTAAATTGAAAAGGAGCCCCAGGGAGACCAGAGATTACCTGAGGAAATCTAGACTTGCTTTATTTAGAGCTTCAGCACTGCAACACTGCAGAGAGGGCTTGGCAGTACTGAAAATAATGTGGTTCAGCGACTGTGAGACGTACTATTCAGTTCCCTTTAGTTGGTTAAACACATACCCACTACATCTATACAGAAAATTATAATGCCTTTCCTCAAATTGATATTTTATTGTTTGCTGTTTTAATGCAAAACCAAATAATCCCCAAGCTAACAGAACAATGAATCTGATGACATCACTAGCAGCAGGGGAAACACTTGTATGATGTAAAAACAAAGTCCCATGCCTCCCTTGCTGAGCTCAACGGTTATCTCCCATTGACAGACTTTCGATTGAGAGACACTGAACTAGAAGGTTAATTCGGGTAACACCTACAGGTATAATGGAACAGTCCACTGTCTAGTGAGTAGAGTTGAGTGAGCCAGCCTGAAACAGGTTCGTTACTGAGAAATTTGATTGTGTGTAAACAGAACTTTATAATTTGTGATTAAATGATAATCTGTGTTCTTTTCTCAAAATTGTTTTTATTATCAATTACTATCAAATATGAAAACAGGTGGGACTGAGAGGTTTAATTGTGTTTATTAATTGAAATATATTTTATTCATTCAAGAATAGGATTGGGCACACGATATCCAACTTAGAAAAGCCCTCACCCAATAATTACACAATTCATCTTACAACAATGTACACAAGTGACAGACATAGGCAAGGCAAGGGTATGTACAACAGAAGTTAAATGAGAAAACATTTTGTCTGAAAGATTTGTTTTCTTGTTTTACCTTGAAATGTAGTTGATTACATTCATAGTATTCTGAATATGCAAAACCTATATTATGCAAGCTTAACAACATTTAATTTTTCATATTTTACCCTTTTTATTAGAAATTTCACGAAATTGTGTCACTACCGTTACGAAATTTGTAACGTCATTTCGAAAAGAAAAAATCCAAAGAAGATATTCCCTTAATGTACATAATATTATATATTAAAACATCTAGTTTTACAACATAATATGGCTAATGAGTTTTTAAATTTTATATTTATTGCTCAAAAGGGGCCAACAAGCCAAACAATTGCTTTCTTTTCTGATTTGCATATATAAAGTAATATGTAGCAAAAAATTCAAAATGAGACTATGAATTATATTATGCTTACTTGAAGCTCTACTACCAAACATACTTGCACTACAAATTCCAAACATAAACAGATAAATCAATTTTAATTATTATCCCCCGCAACAACCAAGGGAGGAGTGCAGAGATAGGGACAGCCAGGTCTTCGAGAACGGATGGAGACGGCACAGCACAGGTTAATGAATAAATAACTTTGTCTGTGAACGTGCTTCTCGAACACCTGGCTGTCCCTTTCTCTGCACTCCTCCCTCGTAACAGTTGTCTGTGTCAATATTTTAATGATAGTTTGTTAAACAACTTTTTTAATTTTGGGACAAAAATTCTGCAAAAAACTCACAGAGTTGGTCTGATGTTTTGATTATGCTCAGCGTTTCATTGAGTATTTTATGTTTATTAGTTTTCGAGTTAGATTGCAATTCATCGGTCCGCTTTTGAGCCAAACGGACTATAACAATATCAGTTTTAAAACAATAACTCTTCCCCAAAGTTTACTGAGCACATGGTTTCAAATGATTTCCCCTACTGTATAAGGTACTTGGCATTGTTTGGCTTCACAAAATTAACTGGTTTCAGCAGTAACCACCGTAACGGTTAGGACAGGCAAAAATCTCAGATATCATTTTGTACACACATTTTTTGCGATAAAATTCAGAAAAATGAATCTTTTGTGTCAGTGTTTGACAGCCCTGTTTTCTCACTGCCATTACTTATTACTTGCAAATATGAAGTAGAATTAGAAGACAGTACAGGGAGTAATCATTATTGCAATTTTTTGGATGCTGTTACAGTAGTGACATCAAACCTTGTGACAAAGTTTGACCTTTTTTTAGAAAATAATTTTCCATACAAAAAAGGCCAAACCATGCCAAGTATGTAGCTGTAACATCATTAATTATGATATGTTAAATAATTACTTTTTAAAAACATGAAAAAGACCCAAAAAATCAAATTGCACATCGACCACTGGAGTTGTGACACATGAAAATTGAGTAAAATTGGGGGTTTAATTGGTTTTGGGGGTTTAAAATAAATATAAAAATATTATTTTCCAAAGTTTGTTACTGTAAAGTGTAGAATTAACTGAGATAAATTGGTTACCTTAAAAAATTTACTGATTTTGACTTAAGTTTGTCGGAAACAAACATATAACATAAATATGCACGAATTTTGAGAATGACTCGTACATAGTTGAAAACATTCTGATTTTCAGTAATTGAGAGACCTGCATTGCCATGTAAGATAAGATTCATACCAATCAGTGTTCTATTTTTAACAATATTTTCTAAAGATTGTAACAGTTTATGTCTTTGAATACTATATACAGTGTATAAAATAAGCCCAAAATACAGCCAGACATCAGGGCTGGTAACTTCAAAATGACCAGACCATCAGGCTGGCTAGCTGTAAATTTAGAAATCAGAAATCTAGACCGTCTCGGGCGATCTGACGGGCCTTATTTCATACACTGGTATATAATGGACATTCAATGAGATAATGAAAAACATTCTCACATCCAAGGCCACATTGACATGATGCATTATGTTTTGTGCATTTGTCATATATCTTAACCATTTGTGCAAAACATTTACTAGTAACTTCTCTATTCCATATGAATATTATTTAGGTGCACATTTTTCTTTCAGGTGTATATAAGATTTAAATGAAGCAGCAAAGTTGCAATTTCTAATAGCTAAGGGGATAATATTCCAGATTTTAACTGCTGATGGAATAAATGATGATGTTGAGTACCTCTGTCTAAAATTGGCTAAATTATTGAAGTTTCTTAACTCGTCCTGTTAGACGAGAAGGTTAAACCCAAATGTATATAAAATTCAACTGTTTTTATATTATAACAATCAAAATTCAAATTAATGTATTGTAGGAAAACTGGGTTAAATTATAGCGTAAGCATGGGGGCAGGGGCTTCATAACGGGATATTCAAACTATACGTACCACATGTAGAATAACTGCCTACCAGATAGTCTTGTAGCACATTGTTTCACTTGCTCTACTACGGGACAACTTCTTGTCTGGGGTTACCGTTCATCGTAGCGCTAGATACATTTGGTAGGCCACGTGGTTGGTGCTAAACATGTTGGGTAGGCTCTGATTGGCGGAGACGTCCGTCATCAGTAGGTGAACTTTGACCCATGTCAGAGGTCGTTCTAGAGCGCTATATAAGTGACCTGGCTCTCTGGATTCAGTGTCTAGCTTTCGGTCATCCGAGCATCAGGTAATATCTCTGTCCCGAAGTCCTGTTTCAGGATCATTCCCTACCCATTTACAGAGTGGAATGTTAAGTTTTATGTCGGGGGATGCTAGGTTCTTTATATTCGTGTTAGGTCGGGTTGGGGGAAAAGTAGAAGTAGGAAACAGAATAGGTATTAAGCTTTAGACTTTGGGTAATGTCCAGTTAAACGGGGTTGGTTTGGGGTGGCTTTTCAGAAGAAGTTTCTCTATGGATTGTTAAAATGGGGAAGTTAGGTTCCTGTTAAACTAGTGTTAGGTCGGGTTGGGGGGAGAATTAGGAGTAGGAAACGGAATAGGAAGTAGGTTATAGACTTTGGGTAATGTCCAGTTAGACGGGATTGGTTTCGGGAGGTTCTATTTTGAAGAGGTTATAGGGGTTTGGTGTTTTTCCTCACGAAGCTGGTTTTCTTAAACTTAATTACGTGAGTGAGAGAGAAGTGTAGTTTACAGACTGTTAAAGGAGAATACGAACGAAAACAAAACTTTTGATATATTGTAAAGGATATTCTAAAAGTCACATTTCGTGATTAAAATTGAACAAAAAGTTTGTAAAATAGCAATAAAAACACAAAAACGTGCTCGTATTTCCGCCTCTTACGGAAACAACCGACAGTTAATGAGCAGAGGGGGTATCACGTGACATGACGTCATAAGTGCCTGTTGCTGATGGCTTCCTCTTTGATTTTACCTCACAACTTAACAGTGTCTGTGGATTGTGAAGCAGTAAAAGATGTTCCTGGTGTAATTTCTGAAATGGATGTTAGACCGTATCAATACGATCCGATTTTACATCTTGCAAGACAATCTTCCACTGAAGATGAAGAAGAAGAATCAAGCGAAACGGAGGCATCGCTTGAGGTCAAAATAAATTTAAAAATAGATCATATCATTTAACAAGATTACTATTTGTCAGCAAAATGTCATACAGTTCCAGCCAGCAAACTCACCCCTATAAATATATGACCAGTCACTAAGAATTATTTTTTTTAAATGTGATTAAAGTTCATTTTGTGTCAAATGGGTGACTGTAGGGTGTCTGGGATTTAAAAACAAAATAATTATGCTTCAGACGAGGGAAAATAAAATTATCTGCTTCAAACATGACACTGGAATTATTTTGTTGAAAAAAATTAGGATCCTAGTTCTCATTAATAACGTATCAAGTCTCGATACAAGATCCCAGCCTGGTCTAGCAGAGATAATATTCGCGACGCAGATAAGTTATTCTCCCAAAACTGGTGAATTATAAAATACTAGTCAGGACAACGTATGTTTCCCCATTGTTTGGTTATGGAAATAGTTATGGTACTCGGTTATAGCCTTAGAATGACATCTTGTCAGCCAATGAGAATACAGAACAACTTTCACGGCACACACTACTGACAAATAGCGAGTCTGATGCCGACGTGCATAATTGGACAAAATGGAAAACAATGAAAGCAACAAGTACTTCATGATTTGCCGTTGTATTCGGCAATGTTTCGAGTTGACTGCATCATTTAGGGCTCCAAACCGAAAAGAACGTTATAGCGAAACATTTTCAAGCTCATGTGAAATCTCTTACTGATTTTGATAATATATCTCATGTGTACCAGTCGAACTGCCCCAGCTACAAAATGCCCCAGCAAATTTAGTCATTCATTCTAATTTGTTCAAATTTATTTATAATAATTGAATATATGCCGTAAATGCATAGTTTTTGTCAACTTCTTATGATATTATGTTCTTCATATAAAAGTTATTAGGAAGTAATATTTCTGATAAATGTTTCTTCAGTAAATTCATAACTATGTATATACTTAATATGAAGAACATAATATCAAAGTTGACAAAACTATGCATTTATGGCCTATATTTATTCATTTTAAATAAATTGGGGCATTTTGACTACCCCCACTGGGGCAATTTGACCAAATTTGCTGGGTCATTTTGTAGCGGGGACAATTCGACTGGCAATCGGACTTGATTTAATTTATGTTAAAAATACCACTGACAGGAAGTTGTTACAGGGAATGATGGAGTATAATTATTAAATCTCGTGGGTACTTTATCTTTCTTCAGCCTAGCTTGGGGATTTCCATACCCCATGCGTGCATGTCTCTTTCATATGCGTCCGACTCAGAATGATCGGCGCATTTCTCCTGCCGAATATGTCATTTCACTTGGAAAATGGAAGAAATGGTGGTTCTTTCCCATGTTCGATGATGCTGTGCATCCCCAGGCAACGCAATACACCATCGTACCATTTAAAAAAACGACAGAAACAACACGATTTGTACTACTGTAGGGCTTGGTCTTTGGCAATATGGCGGAATCCAGGCACATTTGAAGTCACGAGCGGAAAGGTCATGTGGGTTCCAGCGAAATATGCATAATGTCCGAAGCTGAGATTTACAGAAACTGTTAAAACATAATTATACATAATTTTTAATTGAAAATTTGGGAATATGTTTCTGATGACTTTATCTTTCACCCATCAAATTATTGCAGTTCACTCGTATTCTCCTTTAAGTATTGATGACTGCCTTTTTCTGGAAACTTTGTAGATGAACATTAGCGGTAAATCAATATCCTACAGCGCCTACATTAAGAAACAAAAAAAAAGAAAAAACTAAAGATCTGGAAACTAAAATAATTGATGTTGAAGACACAATTCGTAGTAACTTAAAACTTGAAAAATTTAAAGAGGAAGAGATCAAAGGTATTCAGATCAGAAATAGAATCTTGTGGCAGGAAGATGATGAAAAACCTTCAAAATATTTTTGTAATGTTGAAAACAGAAATTTTACTAGTAAATCAATTAATTGTCTGGTATTGGACGATGGCGAGTTAATTACTGATGAAAAGGACATCCTGTGTAGGCAAAAACAATTTTATCAAAATTTATACGCTGAAAAAGATAATAAGATAGACCATAATGTAATGCTATCCAAACTTGATGTCCAATGTCTTCCAAATACTTTGACAGAAAAATTAGAAAAACAAATTAATATGAATGAAATACTAAACGCCTTGAAGTCTATGAAAAACGATAAAAGTCCTGGTATTGACGGATATTCAATAGAATTTTTCCAAATCTTTTGGAGTGATTTGGGAAAATGGATATTCCGCTTTATCCAAAATAATTATCTAACTTTACCTATGAACAGGGGAGTAATAACTTGTATACCTAAGCAAGGAAAAGACAGAAAACTGCTAAAAAAACTGGCGCCCTATTTCTCTGCTAAATTCCGTGTATAAACTGATTAGTGCTTGTATCACTAATAGACTAAAATGTACTCTTGAGTCATCTTGACTATTTAATACAGGAAAATCAGACTGGTTTTATTCCTGGGAGATGTATTAGAGAAAACATCAGACTCCTTTATGACATCATTTTTTAAACTAGAAAACAAAATATTAAAGGGCTCCTGCTATTAATTGACTTTGAAAAGGCCTTTGATACTGTTTCAAAACCATTTATTTACTCTGTCATGAAAAAGTTTAGATTTGGCACATATATGCTCAGATGGATCTCTCTCTTAACAAGTAATGCCACTTCACGTGTCATTCAAAATGGCCATTTAATGAGACGTTTACTCTGCTGTATAAACATCTCATTATTATTTGTACATCATTGGCTTCCACGCCTGTCCTTTGTCTACTCTCTGGCTTCATCAGCTTTCTGGCTAGCCAATTATGTTAATTATGTTGTTTTCTTTGTTACATTGTTACATCCAGTATATGTATACTTCCCCCTTCTTCATGTTCCATTATGCTTGACAACGGTACAAGAATCTGTATCGAAATGTCGCACTCACGAATAAAAGAAGTTGTTATCCATAAAGTTTGTTCTACATTGATAGTTTGATGCATCATTACAGCACTAGGCCCTTGGCCTCATTATAAATAAACTCCTTTTGACTTTGGCTTTGATACAGTTGTATGAGTCCTACTGAAGACAATGCAATGATGAAAGCAAATCATTACCTCGTTTGCTTTTAGTATTGACAGATTCCTGAGACAGCCGAGTGCTGCAGCCAGCATATGTGCAGCTGTAGGCTGTGTGCTGCAGGAGGTTGCCTTGATCACCTTGTGCAGAGCTTCCAGGATACCATACCTCACAAACAGTACTTGCTGGATGCCTGGTCAGACAATAAAGTCATGTTCAAATACTTCATAAAAATGAACAACAACAACAACAACTTGGATTGGTTGAATATAAAACAACGATTGAAATGAAACAAGAAGACAGAGTCATATATATTCACCCCAAATGGTGAACACTTGTATTGAAAAGGTCTACTGATGATACATGCACATCAACTTTCTTCCATCCATTCCTTTCTGTTGTCCATATTTCCTATTTTCATCTCGTATCCACTCCCTCATCCACCTTCCCTCCATTCCACCATTCCATTGGTCCACATCATTCCACTTTTCTTCCATGTCCACCTTTCTGTGTCCACCATGCTTTCCTTGTCCACCTGTGTTGTGGTCTCCATGCCTTCTTGTTCCATTTATTCCTTCCTTGTCCACCCATACCTTCGTTCCACTGTGGCCTTCCTCAGACACTCCATGTCCTTCCACGATGATTCCTGGCAAGATGTCCATTCCAGGTGTGTCCAGTGCCTTCCTGGCCATGTCCATGCTTCCACAGGCTGTCCTTGACCATTCCTGGGGCTGACTTCCTTCCTTGTCCATGGTGTGTCCTCCATGTCCACCTGGGCTGGTCCATTCCTCAGACTCTGGGTTGTCCATGATTGCCTCCACAGGTGGACTGGGGCTGTGTGGTCCTGTGTCCATGATTCCCTCCTGTCCATGGTTGTACATGACTGTCCATGGTCCGGCCACTCCATGCCTTCAGACTGTCCATGGTCCTTCCTGGGCTGTCCATACTCATGGGTTGTCCATGTCCACCTGGGGGTCCTCCTTCCTGGGTTGTCTTGGACTGTCCATGACCTCCTGGGCTGTGGTCTCATGCCTTCCTGGGTTGTCCATGACCTTCCTGGGCTGTCCATGACCCTTCTGGACTATCCATGACCTTCCTGGGGCTGTCCGGCTTCCATGGCCACTGGACTGTCCGCCATGACCCTCCGTCCGGGCACTGATGCCTGCCTTCCACAGACTGTCCATGACCCTGCCCTCCTGGTTCCTGTGGATGTGGTGGCCACTCATGATTCCTGTGTGTCCATGACCACTCATGCCTTCTGGACTGTCGCCCGATTCTCAGACCTTCCTGGGTTGTCCATGACCCTAGGGCACTCAGGACCTGGGGCTGTCCGGGGCCACAGCCTGGGACTGTCCGCGGCCCTGCTGGGCTGTCCGGCCACTCATACCGGACTATCCGGTCTTTGGATGTCCATGCCTTTCCTGGGTCCATGCAGCTGGATGTCCATGGCCACTCGTGGTGCTCCATGGTCCTCCGGACCTTCCGGCCGCCTGCCTTCCACAGGATGTCCATGACCCTCACGGGTGTCCATCATACCTTCTGGACTGTCCATGATTCCACCCTCTCGGGCCTGGGGCTGACCTGGTCCATGCCTTCCTGGACTGTCCATGACTGGGGTGTCCTCCTCTGGACTGTCCTGCATGCCTTCCTGGGACTGTCCATGATCCCTGGCCACTCACTGACCTCATGCCCTGGACTGTCCGTGATCCGATTCCTCTGTGGGCTGGGCTCATGTCCTTCCTGGGCTGTCCTTCCTGACCTCCGACCACTCATGGTGTTCTGGGCTGTCCATGACACTCCTTCCTGGGAGTCCTTTGCTCATGCAGCCCTGGATGTCTGATGACTCATGACCCTTACTGGATCCATGACTAGACTTTGTCATATCCTTTCTGGACTGTCCATGACTCTCCTACTGGAGCTTTGCTCATGCCTTCCTGGACTGTCCATGACCCTGGACTGCTCATGCCTTCCTGGGGATGATCCATGAACTTTGCTCATCCTTGCTGGGCCACCTTCCTGGACTGCTCATCCTGGACTGTCCATGACCTCTGATAGACTTTCTCACACCTTCCTGGACTGTCCATGACTCCCCTTCCTCCTGAACTTTCTGACCCTCATACCTTCACTATGACTGTCCATGACCCTCTCATGAACTTCCACTCATATACCTCCACTGGACTCATCCATTCCCCTACTACGGGCTTTACTCATACCTTCCACAGACCCCATGACCACAGACTGTCCATGACCCTACCTATGAACTTTACTCATACCTTCCACAGACTGTCCATGACCCTACTACAAACTTTTACTCATACCTTCCACAGACTGTCCATGACCCTACTACAAACTTTTACTCATACCTTCCACAGACTGTCCATGACCCTACTACAAACTTTATACTGAACTTTACTCATACCTTTCCACAGACTGTCCATGACCCTACTACAAACTTTTTACTCATACCTTCCACAGACTGTCCATGACCCTACTACAAACTTTTACTCATACCTTCCACAGACTGTCCATGACCCTACTACAAACTTTTACTTACTCATACCTTCCACAGACTGTCCATGACCCTACTACAAACTTTACTCATACCTTCCACAGACTGTCCATGACCCTACTACAAACTTTACTCATACCTTTCCACAGACTGTCCATGACCCTACTACAAACTTTTACAGACTGTCCATGACCTTTTACAGACTGTGTCCATGACCCTACTACAAACTTTTTTTACTCATACCTTCCACAGACTGTCCATGACCCTACCTACAAACTTTTACTCATACCTTCCACAGACTGTCCCATGACCCTACTATGAACTTTACTCATACCTTCCACAGACTGTCCATGACCCTACTACAAACTTTACTCATACATACCTTCCACAGACTGTCCATGACCCTACTACAAACTTTTACTCATACCTTCCACAGACTGTCCATGACCCTACTACGAACTTCTTTTACTCATACCTTCCACAGACTGTCCATGACCCTACTACAAACTTTTTACTCATACCTTCCACAGACTGTCCATGACCCTACCTACAAACTTTACTCATACCTTTCCACAGACTGTCCATGACCCTACTACCTTGAACAGACTTTACTTACATACCTTCCACAGACTGTCCATGACCCTCCTACAAACTTTTACTCATACCTTTCCACAGACTGTCCATGACCCTACTACGAACTTTACTCATACCTTCAGACTTCCACAGACTGTCCATGATGACCCTACTACAAACTTTTACTCATACCTTTCCACAGACTGTCCATGACCCCTACTACAAACTTTACTCATACCTTCCACAGACTGTCCATGACCCTACTACAAACTTTACTCATACCTTCCACAGACTGTCCATGACCCTACTACAAACTTTACTTCTCATACCTTCCACAGACTGTCCATGACCCTACTACAAACTTTACTCATACCTTCCACAGACTGTCCATGACCCTACTACAAACTTTACTCATACCTTCCACAGACTGTCCATGACCCTACTACAAACTTTACTCATACCTTCCACAGACTGTCCATGACCCTCCATGACTACACAAACTTTTACTCATACCTTCCACAGACTGTCCATGACCCTCCTACAAACTTTCCTCATACCTTCCACAGACTGTCCATGACCCTGTCCTTACTCATACCTTCCACAGACTGTCCATGACCCTACTACAACAAACTTTACTCATACCTTCCACAGACTGTCCATGACCCTACTACAAACTTTTTACTCATACCTTCCACAGACTGTCCATGACCCTACTACAGAACTTTACTCATACCTTTCCACAGACTGTCCATGTCCATGACCCTACTACAAACTTTACTCATACCTTCCACAGACTGTCCATGACCCTACTACGAACTTTACTCATACCTTCCACAGACTGTCCATGACCCTACTACGAACTTTACTCATACCTTCCACAGACTGTCCATGACCCTCCTACTGAACTTTACTCATACCTTCCACAGACTGTCCATGACCCTACTACAAACTTTTACTCATACCTTCCACAGACTGTCCATGACCCTACTACAAACTTTACTCATACCTTCCACAGAGACTGTCCATGACCCTACTACTATGAACTTTACTCATACCTTCCACAGACTGTCCATGACCCTACTACAAACTTTACTCATACCTTCCACAGACTGTCCATGACCCTACTACAAACTTTACTCATACCTTCCACAGACTGTCCATGACCCTACTACAAACTTTACTCATACCTTCCACAGACTGTCCATGACCCTACTACAAACTTTTACTCATACCTTCCACAGACTGTCCATGACCCTACTACTGAACTTTTACTCATACCTTCCACAGACTGTCCATGACCCTACTACAAACTTTACTCATACCTTCCACAGACTGTCCATGACCCTCCTACAAACTTTACTCATACCTTCCACAGACTGTCCATGACCCTACTACGAACTTTACTCATACCTTCCACAGACTGTCCATGACCCTACTACAAACTCTTTACTCTATCTTTACATACCTTCCACAGACTGTCCATGACCCTACTACGAACTTTACTCATACCTTCCACAGACTGTCCATGACCCTACTACGAACTTTACTCATACCTTCCACAGACTGTCCATGACCCTCCTACAAACTTTACTCATACCTTCCACAGACTGTCCATGACCCTACTACGAAACTTTACTCATACCTTCCACAGACTGTCCATGACCCTACTACAAACTTTACTCATACCTTCCACAGACTGTCCATGACCCTACTCTACCTTCCACAGACTGTCCATTTACTTCTTACTCATACCTTTCCACAGACTGTCCATGACCCTACTACGAACTTTACTCATACCTTCCACAGACTGTCCATGACCCTACTACAAACTTTACTCATACCTTCCACAGACTGTCCATGACCCTACTACAAACTTTACTCATACCTTCCACAGACTGTCCATGACCCTACTACAAACTTTACTCATACCTTCCACAGACTGTCCATGACCCTACTACAAACTTTACTCATACCTTCCACAGACTGTCCATGACCCTACTACAAACTTTACTCATACCTTCCACAGACTGTCCATGACCCTACTACAAACTTTACTCATACCTTCCACAGACTGTCCATGACCCTACTACAAACTTTACTCATACCTTCCA